AAAAAAAAAAAAAAAAAGCCCTGGAGTGTAGGAAAAGGAAGAGGAAGCTCATCAGTAATTAGCACTGTTTTGGTGGCTTTTTTTATAGTGATGGAAGCAGAGAGAAGTGTCTACCTGCAAAGTAGTTTTGCTGCAAGGAGTTCTTTAGTCCAGTGGCAAGACCACTGAAATCAGTGGCTTGAACAAGTCAAGAGCTGGCTGCACACCTCTGTCACAGGGAGGGAGTTAACTGTGCCAGCAGCTCATGGCACACCCTGCCTCTCATTTGTAATTTAAATGAGCTGGGAGCAATTTGTGGAAGCCACTGGACAGAGCGGGTGAGTTAGTTATTTGGGCATGAAACAGCTGGGAGCCCTGTAGTACTGTATAATAGTCTAGTATATAGTGTATATATATATATAATAGTATAAAAGTTGTCGCTGTTGAGGCAGGACAGGAACGAAAAGACTCTGACTCAGAAGCTGCTGAGAGTAAAACGATTTATTCAGAATACACTGCTCTTTTATACAGAGCTTTGCAAGGACCAAATCCATTGGTTCTGAAGTGAAAACCACCCAAGCATTAGTGCAGAGTGCTTGATGCATGGTGATAGAACTTAACTATAAACAATGTGAAAAACAAGAGAGATAAAGAATTATTTACATTCTCTCCAGCTCTTTCTCAGGCGTCTGCCTGGCTAGAAACTCTCAGTTTCTTTCTTTGACTGAATCTGAGTTCCACAAATAGTCTACTGGAAAAATGCTGTAAAAGGTGTTTATGGTGGCTACAAACACTTAAATGTCTTCTTAAACATATTCATAAATATCCCTGTAAGTAAATCCACTTCTGATGCCAATAAATGGCTTTGACTGCACTCTTCTGATACCTTCCTTGTGTTTTATTCTAGAGTCCCAACCCATTGCTGACCTTCAGTGTTAAGACCCATGACCGCATCTACTACATGGTTGCTCCTTCTCCAGAAGCCATGAGGATATGGATGGATGTCATTGTCACAGGAGCAGAGGGCTACACCCACTTCATGTTATAATAAAAGGGGAGCAATAGGGCATCCTGCAATAACCTAACTAATGAAGTTAGCCATAGCTAGTGACAGCTGAAAAGCCAGTGAATACCCTGAAATGTCCTCCTTATGATGTGCACCCAAAACCTCAGGTTGAGCAGGGGTTACAAATGCATTGAAAAGGGGGGGGTTGTTGTTACCTGTTGTAATTGATCTTTATAGGAATGAACAAGCTAAAGCTGTTGAGAGAATCGTAGTGCTCCAAAAATGGATAATCAGGCAGTTTTAATTACAGCATCTTGATTGAATGATAAGTTTCTACAAATTCTCTTATACAGAGAATGTCTTGGTAAATTTATCCTGAACAGTTTACAAGTGTGTGTGTTCTCATTGGTATGCAAAAATTTTAGTAGTGAAACAAAAAGGTGTAATAAGCATATATTTTAATATGCAAAATTTGACATTTATAGATGATTAGGTGACTTTTTAAAACTTTAGTCAAGTATTTTATAGAAATACAAACAAAAAAGAAGCCCTAAGGTACACACAGTTCTTGCCTTAGTATTTAAGTGTTACAACAGAGCCAAAGAGTTACATGATTTCCCTTACATTTTCATATTGTTACTTTTACCTAACTTTCTGTAAGGGGACAGTGCCAAAACTCTTAATGACTTTTAATGTAATTAAATTGTTATATTCTGTATGTTCAAAAACTTTGTGGCAACAACTGTATATTTAAAGTTTGCATCAATGGAGCACAACAAGAAAAAAAACACAAAAAAAACCCCAAGATGGATAGCTTTATAAAGATGCAATTTTTCCACAAGGATGAGAAATGGAAACACATGTATTAACTGCCTCATAAAGAAGGATTTTTTTAATCCTCCCTGTTGAACAGAATAAGCTGATTCTGGACTCTACAGCAATTTTATTTTATATTGTAAGGTCCCAGTGTGGTTCTAATCTTACTATGTGCCAAGTGAACACTATTGAAATCTCTCAAATATTGCCTGCCTTGAAGCCAGCACCAAAATCTCTGCGTGTCTGGATTCTTTGGAGACAAGCTTTCCCAGAGAATTGTTTTGTTCTTTAATGTATATCTGCACAGAATAATGCTGTCAAATAGAATAAAAAGAGAGGTGAGTTCTAAGAGTTTACACTAAGCAGTGTATGAATAAAAAAACCTGAAAGTTTGAAGTAGTAGGATTGAGATTCCTAAAACAGCAAAAATACTGAGGGTGCAGCAGTCACCCATTTTAAAATCACCTCCAAGTTCTTCAATAATATTGCAAAAATATAAATTATTTAATTGAAATGAACTTCAAGAAAGTGTCATATTATGACTTTAAAAGAAGTTCTATTTGATTATAATTAAAACATGCTCTGTGGTTTGTGTACTAGAAGAAAGCACATTAGTCCTTTTTTTTTCCTTTGATGAAAAGCTAATGGCTTTTAATTGAACAAATAAACTGAAAACAGAATAGAAGTATGCTGGCAGAATATTTTTGTTATACTTTTTAAACCCTGTAACTGCAATGGAGAGGTCTGTGGTATGTACAAGTGATGTGGTTGCTCTAGCATGACAAACATCAGTTTCTACTTGAATCATAGAAGAGACTGTTGTTGCAAGGTAATTGTTATCATCTGTGCAGATCACAGCCTGTAAACTATAATTTAAAACACTATCAAATAAATTGCTTTTGTTTATACAGTTATTATTTTTTCCTGATGTATCTTGATTTTATTCCCAAGTATAGTTACAAAGGTTTTCTAATAATGATTTTTGTATCCTGCATGATGCAATGAAGGCATTACAATAAACATTTTTAAAAATACACTTGTTTCAAATATTTTCTTGCTGCATTATCCTGAGACATTTGTACTTGTCTTTTAAATAGTTATATGCAGTCATGCAAGCAACACTGTATTTCTCAGTAACACTTAATTAAACTATTCCATGTATTTTCTCATAAAAGAGCTATGGAAAATAATCTTTCGGAGGGCAGTGAGATTAGGAGTGTAGTTTGTTTTCTGCATGTACATAATATAATACCTTTTTCATTTTTTATGAACCTGTTTGAAAAATTTATTACCAACTTTGGATATTGACGATTTTTTTTGTTTAACTGCAAACCAGAAACTGCTTGAGTTTAAGGATTTCAACATTTTCCCAGTATTTAACTTAGACATGACCTGAATGGGAGTATTAACTCACTGTGGAAATGAAAACCAGTGTGGTTTTATGATTGATTTGTTTTCATTGCCATCATCATCATGAAGTGGGGTGGGGTCTGTAGTGGTGTATATCAAGACAACGTAAGTAGAGCATGGTGGTGGGCACCCCCTTCTATAATCAATCTGCACTGATCATAATGATCGTTAATGAGGTCCCTTCTCAGCCATCTCTTCTCGAGGCTTGTGAAAAATGTTAATCACTTGGTTTATAAAATTTTTTAAATGTTGAATAATAATAAAATGATTATAAAAATAGTAATAGAATTAGAGTAATAAAATTTAGAGTTAGGACAATTACAAGACAATAAACAGCAAAGAATTATGGAGGTCCAGATGTTCTCGGACACTAAGTCACGAAAAGCATCCCTTGTGAACAAAGGAATAACCTTAAAAGCAATAGCTTGTTGCATATTCATATATCTCATACATGATGCATAAATTCCTTGCATATTACGAACTTTTCTGGTTTTTGTCAACTTCTTCTCTTTAATCTTGATGGTTCCAAAAAAGATGGAGAGAAGGTGGAAGAATATTTGTCTTTCCTGGTAAGGAGGCAGTAACTTTTTATGGGCCCCCTTCGCTGACATCTCTGTGTGAAGAGTTTCTTGATTATCTCCTCTTCCTAACTGAGCTTGTAACAAATCCTATATCACAAAGTTTCTATTTTAACATTATGTTGTAACCTAAAACCTGTATTTAACACAGTACTTAAAGAGAATTAATACAGAATAACTCTAACATTACACACATAATATTCATTGTAACATTTGTGAAAAGCCAATCATAAAATACACATTTTTAAATGCATATTTTATCACAAAATACCACAAAGGCTGAACTTCGTGTCCCTCCTGAACTGAGGAGCCAAGACCTGGGCACAGCACTGCAGAGGTGGGAGCTGAGCATCACTTCGGGCAGTGCTGAGCAGAGGGGCTGGACCACCTCCCTCCACTGCTGCCAGTGCTCTTCCCAACGCACACCTTTGCCCTTCTTGGCTATGTTAGAAATAAAAATTTATTCAGCCAAATTAAAAATAAAAATAGTTTTATTAGCGGTCAAATTCTATCTAGCCAGCCACGATAAAAAAAAAAAAGAAAACAACACAGTGCTGAGCCCGGGGATCGATCCTGGGTGTGCAAGAAGGAGTCAGCCTCAGGAAAGGTTTCCCCTATGCCCACACACCTCCATCCTGGCACAAGCGGTTTTTATAGGGAAAATTCCGCCTGAGGCCAAGATTTCGGCAGTCAGTCTTTTCTTCCATTCAGAGTCCATTGGTTAATAAGATTTTCTTTTTTGATGATGAGGAAGAACAATTCAGTGTCTGGAGTTGTTGAATCCCTTGATGAAATTTACAGGAACGCTGCATTCACATGTATCTGCCCGAGGATTTCTATAATATTTCTATAATATCCATCTCGGGTCGTTTATGCCATGATCAGCACCTGAGGTCCCAATATCTCTCCAGACACGGCCCATCTCCTCAACCACATCCTTTTACTTGTAAATCAGTTTCCAATATTCCAATGTTCACCAGGTCTCGCCTGCGAGATGGAGGGGGGGGACTTCTAATCCAAACGAGCATAATCTAACAAGTATCCAATATCACACATTTCATACAAGGAATGGCGCGAATATATTCACTACACATAACACCTGCGAGGCACGGCAGGCTCGGAGGAACCACGCACGATTCGCGTTTTGTGTTTATTCGACAGAACTCGGCCGCTCCCTCCCCAGGCGGGCCCGGCCCTCAGCACAGACCGCGCCCGCCGCTCCCCCCGCGGGCGGCGCGTGCGCGGCCATGGCGGCCATGGCGCTGCTGCGGCCCGGCCGCGCCTCAGCCCTGCGGGGATCGCTGTCACCGCTCCTGGGTAAGGCACAGCCGCGGGGAGCTCGCAGCAAGCAGAAGGGTTGGCAGGCGGAGGGGAGGGGATGTGTGTCGGTGCCGGCTGTGATGGCTCTCGGGGAGCTCCCCCTCAGCGCCGCCTCCGTGAGGAAGGGCCGGGGCGCGGCTCTGTGTGGGGATGGACATCTCAAACTCATCCCATGGAGTGCCTGACAGGCTTCTCCTCCCCGCCCGGCCCACGGAGGGGCTCGGTGGCTGTGCACAGCCGCTGTCCTGCCTGCGTGGTGTTGGTCTGAGCTCTTGGCCCTGGTGGGTTTGTTGGAGCTGGGGACCGTTCGCTCGGTCGGGTGTGAAACTGAGCAAAGCTCCGCCAGGCACCTGGAAAGCTTTGCTGGCGTCCGCCTCTGCCCAAACACTGCCCTTCTTGAGGTGTCACACCCCGTGCTTGTCTGAGCTGCTCAGTTTATTAATTGCCTTTCATTGGACAGGTGAATCTCATCTTGTCTGAGCTGTTGAGTTTATTAATTGCCTTTAGTTGGACAGCTGTGACTCATCTAAGGTTGCTCAGTGAGTAAAACTTAATTGCCACTATGGTGCACACTTTGTAGCTGCATGAAAGCTTGATTACAGTGGGATTTTGTTGCTTTGTTCTTCTTCCTTTCTGTGTTGTGGGAATCCAGGGCTTCCCTCTGGCTGCCCTGGCAGGGGTCAGGAACCCCCCTGGACAGAGCCCCCAGAGACACTGTCTGTGATCTCTGTCCATGGAAAAGAGTTTTCAATCTTACAGGATGAATTACAAGCTCTGAATGTTTGATATGAGTAATAATTAAGTGTGGCACAGGTGCAAAAATAAAATTTTAGGATTCTAGATTAGGGGTTCAGAGGGGACAAGATGGAGGAATTGGGTGTGTCTTGTCCTTTTCCTCCTTCTTCATGCCCTCCATGTTTCACTGTGGTGTTGGCATTTTTCTGTTGGTTTAGGCTGGGGACACGCTATTTAACATAGATGATAGATATTAGCACATTATTGTAAATTTAGCACACGTAGTTTCTGGTATTTAATGTTTGTACCATCCCACTGAGGGCAGAGCCCCACACGCTGCCCTGCAGGACAGAGCTGTGGCAGGGCAGCAAAACATGTTAGAGATAAACAGAATAAACAACCTTGAAACCAGCACAGACGAATTATGGCTTCTTCTTTGGCAACGGGGCAGAAAGACAGAGACTTTCTACAATCTCGGAATCACCAATACCCACAGATTCCGACGCTGTGTGTTTGTAACAGTAATATTATCAGAATATCTTGTTTATTTGAGTGTGTCTTTAGGTGCTCTGGGACCAGGCCAAGCAGCAGTTCCTGCTGGAACGTGGGTGGTTGCATGAAAGTGTGGACAGAGTTGAGTCCATTACCTGTCACAGCAGCATTAATCTGTTGCTGGTGGGAGTGGGGAAATCTCAGTCTCTGGGAATATTCCCAGAGTTGTTCAGGGAACTTCTTTGGCTTTGATGTGTAATGTAACACTGGTCTCAGTCACAATTTCTGATGTTCATAAAAGTGCAATCTGATATGAAGAGAATTCCATAGATCAGGCAAGGGTCCTGTGGTCTTCCTGTAGGTATCACCTTCTCTCTGTAACTTGCTTTTATGAACATTAATACCTGCCTTGCACCTTTCAGAAATGCTTCCTGCTCTTACTAAGGTCTTTCCTAAAATCAGGAGGGGAAATTACTGGGCAGCTGCTGATGGTTTTGTCTGTCTAAAGAGAAATCTGAAAGTACATTGAGTTTTGCTTATGGGTTGGCTGCAGTGGTTGCTTTAGGGGTTTGCATCATTCAGGTTAGGATTGCTGCTGGTGCTTCCATTAACTTGTTAAATGGAAGAATAGTTTGTGAAATAGCTAAGACAGTTGTGTCTTCTAGCTGCAGTTGGAACCCTGCCAGTGCCAAAGTAATTTGAAGACACCTCCAGAGTGCTGCAGCATGGAAGACGAGTGGCTTCAGAGATGGCTATCAGGGCTTAAGGGGGAGAAAAATATTCCCAGTTACTTTTCTTTTAAATTTAGCACTTGATTCTTCTCCTACTGACACTTGCACTCTGCTGGCCCTGAAGAAGTGACTGGCTTAGTGAGAGACACTCACGAATCAGAAGCCACAGTGTGGATGTGTCTTAATACCTTTATTGTGGAAGTCATTCACCTTTATAAACAGGATAAAGAGCTGCCTCATTGTTTGAGGAGCAATTTAATGGTTTTAATCTATAGTTCAAATGATGCCATTTCTGTTGGACTGTAGCAAAGTTCTGAATGTTAGCTGCACTCTGTATCTGTTATGTATTCACACTTACTCATGCACATCCAAGTTTAACAACAAACCAGCCCCCTAAAACCCTTTCAATGTAATCTCTGATAGTGACAAAACAGAATTCAAGGCTGCAGGTAAGTGGTGTGATACTTGACAGGCTTGGGCTTTGCACTATTTATCCACCCCTAGGAAGCCCTGAGGCTTTATTTTGGGTTGCATAGTGTCTTTGCCCCCCTGTTGAAGATCCAACGATTTTCTAATCCAAGAATTAAGAGTGTCAAAGTCTTAGAAGACTTGACCAAGCTTTCAGTTTAACAAATTACCTTCCTGAGCTGGATAATAGAGTGGATTAAGTCTCCTTAACAGCTCTCTACAAATTACTTGTCCTCACCTGCAGTAGAGGTAAAACTGACTGCTAAAGTTAGATTAAATCCTGTAGCAGCTGTTGAGATTCAGCAGAATTATTAATTAGTTAGCAGTTCCTATGTTAATGTCCATGTTTGATGTTATTAATTTCATTTGGTTTAAACAATGCTAATGTTGTTTCATGCTCATCATGATGAAAAAGTTGGTCACAAGATTCTTTCCCAGTTCTTGATTATGAATTTGCCCGTATATCTCCATATATTGTGTGGATCCAGGGCTTTGATAAGATGCAGTTTTTCCTTCAGTTTTAATTCTAATGAAAAATTTGTCACCTCATGTACTTGTAAACTTACATTGCACAGAGTACACTAGTCTCAAAATTATGATTTTTGAAAATAAAAGTTTAAACTATGCAGATATTAAATGGGAAGATTTTTTGGTGAAGTGAGTAAATGTACTCAAGATGGTATGAAACATGAGGACTGATGAAGTCTAGGAAGCCTGAGAATTTGTTTTCAGTCAACCACATCACTAATTGCTGAATGAACTCTCTAGGTGGTTGGCATTTAATGATTTGAGAATGAATCACAATAAACTTTGTCTTTCAGGTTCATCAGTACTTGTCAGTCATTAAAGAATATAGGAGATGCTTTTTCTTCTCTCTTGTGCCAAAATACCTTATTTTCACGTAATGTGCCCATATTTGCCAAACCGTGGGTTTATAAAAGCTTGCATTTCTGCCAAGGTTGTCATGATGATTGTACTAAATAGCTCCTCTTACCAGTTTGCAGGCTGAAATCATCGGTCAGCTTTCTCACTCGACCAGATCGACCAAACATCGCTTATCAGAAAATAAAAGGGAGGAATCCAGGGGTTATTTTCCTTCCAGGCTTCAATTCAAATATGAATGGTCAGAAAGCAACTGCCCTTGAAGACTTCTGCAAATCATTAGGTCATGCCTTCATCAGGTACAAAGATGAGTATTGTTCTTGAGAAAATGAAACTAGTCTCATGGGTTGTGGGAAGGGGTTTTAACACAAATATGTAAACTTTGGCATTTGGATTGGGATGCTCCCTGTGCTAAGGTAGCTCATATACAAGATAAGAAGTCTTCTGTTTCCACATATAGGATTTCTGTCAGTAGAGAGACTGAGGTAAATCAGGAGAATGTATTCTGAAAGTAATTCAGAAAATTCTCCTATTTTTCTGTAGTATACCACTGCTACATGTTCCAACCAGGCTGTAGGCACAAAAATTAGAAATTAAGGACCTGGAGTTCTGTTTTTTAAGTTACCACTATAAGCAGTGTCCTTACGTGCCAAGTCTGTTTAAGTTTCCCTTTGTCTTCTGTGGGTTTAGAAGATCATGGCCCTGCTTGGTGATGCTGTCCTTTGATAGATGAGATTGAATGCTGTCTGTCTGAATGTGTCATAAGTCTTTGTGTTTGGGTTCAGTGTTTGAAAGAGTTTGTACATTTTAAAAAATACCTACAAAATTCAAGTGTCTGAGAGGTTTTTTTTTGTCTGTAAGGGAAATTTTTTGTCTATTCTTGTAAATTATGATGGTATCTCAAACAATAGAGAATGCTGCATAACTTAGTTGTGCTTGTTGTATTTAAATTGTTTTTATGTGATTTCTGGTCCTAGTGATAAACAGGGCCAAGTAAGAAAATATTCAGTGTGGTATCTTGTTCCCTGCTGATTTGATTATACAGTAGTATTTAATTAGTGTCTGTGTTGCTGTAGACAGTACTATAACTTTCCTGTTGATGGTTATTTTTTCAGATTTGACTATACAGGATGTGGAAGTTCAGATGGTAAATTTGAAGAGTGTACAATTGGGAAGTGGAGAAAAGATGTTCTGAGTATACTGGATGAACTTACAGATGGACCACAGGTTATATTTTATTTTTTAAATATAGAATGCTGTTTTTCCCTCAGGGTAGAACCTTGATCAAAAATATGCCATAATAGCTCTGGTCAGCAGCAGCTTTTGCAGGCAGGTAGGTCACAAAATCATGGAAGTATGGGTTGGCAGGACCTCCTGGAGGTTGTTTATTAGAATCTCCTGCTCAGAGCAGGGCTGTTGTCCCAGAGAGCCTGAGAAAGCCTCATGGTGGAGGTGCTACCTGACAGGGGACAGGGAATTGTTCCTGTGTAGTGTGGCCCTGTTAATGAAAAAGTGTGTCACTGTCCCCTGCTTCTGCATTAATTAAAGGATTTGCAGGAAGATTACAAGATATGCCATATGATCAAAGAGCTTTAAAAAACAGGCAAGAGAAGCAGCAGTTGATTTCTTCAGTTACTTTAGACATTTCTGTGAGAAACTTGGAATCTCCTACAACCTAGAAATACCTAATATTGTGTTGAAAACTATTTTATATTATGAATTTCTTTTGTTTACTTCTTTCTCTGCACTGAGTCTTTATCACGTGCATTTATCTTGAGAAGGAAACATAAAAGTATGCATATGATACTGAATTGTTTCAACTCTCATTTTGTTTACAGTGTTTCAGTCTCAGACAGCAATAACCAGCCATGCCAAACAGAATAATAAATACCAGATCTTGTGGTGCTTACTCAGGCAAAATTTCCACTGGAGCTGACAGCAGTTCTGCCTGGGTAAGGACAGCAGGATTATGCCCAAGGTTTAAATAGTTAAACCAAGTGAACACTGATATTTTGTGCAAGAAGAAAAAAATCTATTAGCCATTTCCTGTAAAACACCGTATTTTCTTTTTTTTTTTTTTTTTTTAATTTTCTTTTTCAGATTCTGGTGGGCTCAAGCATGGGTGGATGGCTGATGCTTCATGCTGCAATAGCACGTCCTGATAAAGTAGCTGCTCTGGTTGGAGTAGCTGTAGCAGCAGATCACGTTGTAACAACTTTTAAGAGGCTTCCTATTGAGGTAAATGTTGATGGTTGGCTTTTGTGAAGTCTATAAATCTTACCAAAAATTTAAGAAATAATGTTATTTACACTGTACTTTTCCTGTAAATTTTAGGGTAAGTTTTCTGTGTTTGATTAATGTAAGCTTACAGTATGAGACTAGTGTGAGCACTAGCCAGAGTGTGCCTGTATTACTGTGGTTTAGAGGATGTGAAGTCAGATCCCTGCAGTCCATTAGATTTCAGTGTTGAATATCTTATATTTGCATTGGAATTGGATCCTTGTGCTTGGAAGGATGGAGAAGTAGCCACTAAAGTAATTGAGGTGTCACTGGATGAAATGTATACGACACAGGTTGTGTGCATAGAAAGGAAATTTTTCAGATTAGTGTGTTTGTAAAGATTTAGGTAATGGGAACTGCCCTTCTGAGATTCTTCCTTGTTGGTAATAATGTCTAGTCTTCAGGAAAGCAAATGAGTTGTTACATAGCAATAAAAAATGTCTGCGTAGAATAATGAAAATATTTTCCCAGTTTGTTTGGGTTTTTTCTAAGGTACTGTCAATATTTCTATTTAAGACTCAGAATCTGAAAATACTTAAGAATCTAGAAATACAGTATTTAGAGACACCTACTGTGGCAAAGACTGAAAAGACTGATCACTGGGCAGTGTCTTTTCCCTAGGATTTCCCCTTGTCTCAGGATCAGTGAACTGACTGAAGCCAAGGAGATTTACTGTTCATGATGGCTGTACATCTTTTTCTTTTCTGATAGATTCTGGCTAAGAAATTTAATTTCATTGGTGAATTTTAACTAGATTAAATTGCAGGAGAGGTTTGGAGAGCTTTTGTGACATGGTAGGGGATTTGTCCTCTCAGATGCTGTAAGGAGAATGGGAGTAGACTTTTGATAATAAAAATCAACAAGGTGAAATTCTGTGCTTGGGGGACTTTTACTGCTTTTAGAACAGAAATAAATTGAGGTACTCTTAAGTACTCCTAACATATGTTTTGTCTATTCTTTGCTCTCTTTTTATATAGGCACAAAAAGAAATAGAACAAAAGGGTGAATGGAAGTATAAAACAAAGCACAATGAGGAAGGATATTACTCCTTGACCTATGACTTCATCAGAGAAGCAGAAAATCACTGTGTGCTGCATAGTCCTATTCCTGTAACATGTCCCATACGCCTTATCCACGGCATGAGGGATGGGGATGTCCCCTGGGAGATCTCTATGCAAGTTGCTGACCGTGTTTTGAGCAAGGACGTGGATGTTATCCTCCGCAAAATCGGCCAGCACCGCATGAGTGACAAGGAGGATACAAAGCTCCTTGTGAATACTGTTGATGATCTAATTGACAAGCTGTCAACAGTAGCATAAGCTGAAGAGTAGCATTAGTGCATGAACTCTACACCTGATTCTTTTCCTTGAGTAACAGAAGCCTTGTTCTTACCCAGATGGTGGCAGGCCTGTGACTGTCACAGTAGGAACTGAGCTTTATCTGCTGTTTCCTTACCTCTGTTTCGTAAATACAGGTATTATATTATTGCTGCATTTGCACACAGTCCAAAGTGTGAAGGAGTGCTGCTATTCTGTTCAGAACCTCTCCTTCACCACTTTACCCATTCTTTTCACAAATTTCCTACAATTTTGTACTGACACGTTGATTACTTTTTGTTGCTATTGGCCTGTACAGTAAAACTTTATTTTCATGTCTTTGATACCTGTTACTGTCCTTTCACTGTAACATCATTGTATCTTAGTCTGAAACCATCTGTGCAAGGCAAAATACAACTTATGTGTTTACTGAAGTTAGTTATTAGAATAGTGAGTACCATGAAACGCAATAAACAGATTTCAGATAAATGATTATTTTGTTCTGAAATGCTGTTAAAAAGTGGAAGGCACACCCTGATGGTGTGCTTGGGGTACTACATAGGGAAGAATTTGACTTCTAAGAATGCAGGGCCTCAAAGCCTTAAGAGCTCTTTATCTGTGCTTATCAGGAGGAGGTGTGTCATCTTCTCCAGGCTGCCATCTCGTTCATTTGTGGGCCTACTGTTAAGGAAACAATAAATAATCGTGGTGTAAACTGAAACTGGATCAGTAAGGTGACTTTAATAGTAACATCTTCAAAGTGGGGAGTATGGTGCCACAGAGCACTTTTGCCTCTTTCCCATGACTTGAGAGCTGTGGATTGCTGGGAGCAGTGTCTTCTTCAGCTGCATGAGTCCAACCCTGAGAAGTTGTAAATAGAACTTGATAGTTGAATAAGTCTTAAAATGCAAATCCACAAAATTTAATAGGAAATTGATTTAATTGCAAATATGACTTTTATCTTGGTTTTATACAGAAATACAGCGCCGTTCATACACTTGAGAGAGAGGCTGGAATTAGTTCTGGCTGGTCTGAATGTGTAACAGCAATCAAAAGCATACAATTGTTTCTGGGTTTGTTATTTGAAGTAGTAAATTACATCACTATTGTTACCTTAAAAGACTAGAGCTGCTGGGGGTAAGGTATTTCTAGAAAGTTTGTCATTTTCAGTTTTAGCTGTGTCAGTAGAAGTGTGCTGAACAGGGCTTTGCTGAAGTAGTGGGTTTTAATTTAAAAAAAAATCACAAATAACAAAAGTTTAAAAAAACCCACAACAACGACAAAACTAAAATTTCAGTTGAGCTCCTGTGAAGTACAGGAACTCAAGTTCCTGAAGCTCCTGTTGAAGTCCTGTGAAGATCTATTTAGACTTGCAAAAAACAAGCTGTGATGTAAAAAAAAAAAAACAATTAATTTTGATATAAGTAAAAAAAGATGGCTCTTGTTTTGATGCAAATTTTCTATTTCAAGTGTACCAATTCCCTAACTCAGTCATAGAATGGTTTGGATTGGAAGGGAACCTTAAAGATCATCTGGTTCCAACCACTATATCAGGTTACTCAGAGCCCCATCCAACTTGGCCTTGAACACTTCCAGAGACGGGGCATCCACAGCTCCTACAGGCAACTTGTTCCAGTGCCTCACAGTAAAGAATTTTTCCCTAATTATCTGGTCTAAACCTACTCTCTAAGTTTGAACCCATTCTTCCCCTTGTTCTGTCACAACAAGCTCTTAAAAATAGTCTCTATCCACCTCAGGATGATCTAGATTGGGATAATTGCTTGAGGAAATCCGAACATTTAATGAAATCTTGTTCCCAAGTATTTCTGGCATAGACTGTTCTGTTTGTATCACTATGCAATTCACTTTAGCTTTAAAATCTCTGAAATATGTTTCTGACTTTTGAGAAACTTAATGCAAATGGCATTCCTGGAATTGAGGCTGTGTTCATGTTTATGTACTGTTAAGCAGTTGTCATCTTTATATGTGTTTGTATGACTTGAATCTGATTATACCTAAAAAACAGATTTTGTGGGTTTTAAAGATGCAGTCAAATCAAAATTATTTCAAAACTGCCCTTAGTCACGATAGGTTTTTAAATTCAGTTTTGTCTCATCTTAGATTGGTTTGGTTCATAATGGAAGAAGAGGCTGAAACAAGTGGACTGCAGTAATTCCAAAATAATTAATTTTAATTAATGCCAAGAGTTGCCAGTTGTAGTAGATATACTTTTTCTTCACATATATTAAAGTTACTTCAGTGACTGAAAAGTTTTGAGCTTTTTTTTTTCCATAGGTAGTTATACCTGTAAACGTTTAATTTAATATTTTGGACAGAGAGAAGAGTTTGTGTGCCTGCATAATCTGTAGCTGTGTATTCCTCTTGAAAGAGTTGCATTGTATTCGTGCTTCATGTTAGCCTTTATTAAATAATTGATTTTTTACAGGTAAGATGTCTGTTGCAGTGCCTTAGAGCAAGAGAGGTGAAGGTAAATATGAAGTGGAGCAGTTGTGTAAAGAGTTTTCAGGAGGGTTTTTTTCCCTGTTTGCTGTTGCTGTTTTGTGTTGTTGCCCCCTCCATTATTCTGCTGTAATAACATGAGTGTACAGGGTTGGCATCATTTTTGGGAATACAAAACTGCAGCATCAGTTGCTGAAACCACAGCATTACTGAAAACTTATTCCTAGGGGAATGGATTTTGTTGCCACTTGTAGTCCTGTTTTCCTTCTCTGATGGCCAAATGGAGATCAGGGGTAGCATTTACAGTACAGGTACATCCAAAGTTTGTTACATATGTCCTAAATGCAAAGGCAGAGATGATACTTTCTTCACAAAGACAATATTCCAGGTAGTGTTTTGAAATTCAAGAAATGCTAGTGTCCTTCTCTCTGTGTTCACTTTTTCTTTTTGTAAATCTGGTTTCCTTAAATATGAAGAGGTAGACCTTGTGCAGACAGACCTTCTTCTCTGATTTTGCTGTAGTAATTCCATTGATATTTATCTTTGCAAGCATAAACATTTTCCCTGTGTTCATGCTGGAAATTGCCACAGTTTTGACTGTTGGCAACTTGGCATGTTCAGATGCCTGAAAGAAGGGATAGTGTTAACTAGAGAGATTTACATCCTACCTCTGAGCAGCTGTTGATCTACCAGGAAGTTTTGACAATCTCAAATAATGTGGTATTCACATATTACAGTGTCATTCCAAATTGGTAATTTTTGTCCTCTGCATTAATGCCTGGGGCATTGCTTTCTTTGCCAGTAGATGCCTACATAGTAATTATTTTCAGTATTAGTTGTGTTTAAAAACTAGTATTTCATTCCTCTGTAGAGATACTGTATTTAAATAGGATATTGCACACTGGGAAAGCTCTGCATGATGCAGATTTTTAAAATCCCTTGTAATGAATTGTGTTGTGTTTTGTTTCTTTTTTAACAGACTGCTGATTTGTTGACAAATGCAAAGCATTTTATGAACATATAATGTATATTTCCTCAACAATAAGTTTGATTCAAATAATCAGTTTCTAAAGCTTACTCAACTTGTTTCCTAATAAACAAGTGCTCTTATTCTGCTTATATTGAGCTGTACTTCCACGGTTTTAGATACATGTATTTTTATCTTGTTAAATATTCTACTTGTTTTGTCTCTCCTCTTGTTTGGCTTTGTATTACACACCATCTGGTTTGCTTTTTTGGTCTTGGGGGGTTTTTTAACTTAATTGGTGTTAAGTGTTTCATGTAGTTTCTGTTTAGCTAAGCTGTTTTCTCTTGCATCAACACTAAATGCAAAAAAGACAGTGTTCACAAAAAAGCCTGGCTGGATAGGCCTTAGAAGAATCACCTCCTGCTGTTTTATTTTTATGTTAATTTTGGTTACACGCTCTCTTGGACATGCTGTTATTCAATGGGGCTAAAAGATTTATGGTACCATACTTTTCATATCAAATTAAAACGTGCTTAGAGAGAAATATTCAACGGGTGACTTGTCTGCAGCTGCTCAGCTATCTTCAGTGCTCCAGTCATGATGCAATACAGAGCTGTAACATCTTCTGAAACAGTGCAGTTTCTACATTAGGTTTGTGCTTGTAATTTCTTTCTCCTCTGGCAGGAAAGAAACCCAAACAAGTGGGAGGGAAAATCATGAGATATGAACTTATTTTCTAAGCTACTGAGTTGTGCTGTTATAAAAAGACCTACCTTAGCCTTTCATATTTGTTTAGTTTTCTTAAATGCTCAAAAGTTAGGTTATACTAAAGGTTTCCAGCGAAACAGAAGAGGGTTCTCTGTTTGACCTGTCTTTGAGATGAGCAAAGGGAACTCAGCCATTATATTAAAGACCAGCCAGCTTGCTGAGGATGAGGTTTTAATGCCCCTGTCATTGGCACTTCGCTCCTGGCAGGTATTTTCTAAGGGAACATTTTACTGTTGAGAAAGAGAGGCAGAAATGAAGATCACAAATGCTCTGCTCATAGATTTACTGCTTGTTGGTCAGTTTTTATAGCTCACATTTGCTCTGTGACTGGAGCACCTCATCTCTCTTCAATATGTATTTGCCTAGAACAGAAAAATGTTACAGCCTTTGTCACCTAATATGTAAAAGGAGTTACTGCAGTCTGGTTGTAGGCTTGACCTTTTATTTCTCTTTCAAGTCCTGCATATATATGTTATGTGTTCCAGTGCTTCTTTTCCATTAAAGAGAAATGGGCACCCTCCATATGATGCAGTAATTGCAGCTCACAGGTAGACACATTTTCAACCTCCTACAGTCTCGATTTGTGTCTGGCAAGGAGCTTCAGGCAGCTCTGCATTTATATTTGGAAGGAAAAGCAAATGACAATTCCTAAAACTTCCAGTCATTTGGTTCTGAAATTAAAATACATATTTGAAATCTTTCGAGGCGAGCACGTGAAAGGTTGTGCTCTTTTTGGGCCTTCTGATCTGCACCATGCTGTCCACTTGCCTCCCACTTGGCAACATGAGAAGGTCACTGCTGCCTGCTGGGGTGGGAGCAGGTGCTCTGTCAGTGGCAAAGGTCTGCTGAACAGTAGCACCCTTAGGGATTGGTGTGATCAGACTGTAGTTTGGGAAAAACATTCCCTGAAACCTGCCTAGGATCAGATCTCGACCCTACAAGTTGGGTTTGGGGTTTAATTGGCTTGCTGGCAGAAAGTGTGGCAGAATGTGCTAGTCTTTGGGACAGTACTTCTTGAAAAAGTTCCTTAGAGCAAAGCTAAATCCCTAACCATAAAAGCAGCATTTATATAGTTAGAGGATTTGATCTTTTAGGGGGTTTTTGTTTGTAAATTCTGCTGTCTGTTTTGACCTCTGTTTCAGTAAAATAAAGGCATTACTTTCTGTTCTACTCTGAATGTGTCGTTCTCCAGAGGTACTGTTCTAGTTAGGGAGAGAAAAGCAATGGATATGAAACCTTCTGGGTTTCTTTCAAAGGAGTCTGTTAATCCGGCTCAAAACTTAAGAGGTCCTGA